AATGAAATGGGTGTATTTGTAGGTTTCAATATATAGTAAAAAGATTTAATGTTTTAAAAGAATGAAACATTGTTGACATCACAAACTCGATCATAAAAACAATTCATTTAAACAATACAAAACACATTTGAGAAATCAATACTTATTTTTTCATACCAAAAATTAGAATTTGTAATACCAATAGAACAGTTGGTGAAATCGATAAATAAATTATTGATGTCATACAACACGTTAATAAACAGTAAAACGGCGCCTAATAATCCTTGCAGTAAGACGCATCCATGTACGTTCATCAGTTCCCGATGCATGTTGCTGATGTTAATTGTGAGTGAGAAGGCAATATTTAATTTATATCACGGTGTGCCGGCTTTCTCAGCCCACAGTCACGCAGGTGGTAGATATTTATGCACGAGCACCGGTATGGTGCTGACAAACCTAGGATAATAACCAGAGCTAATCTGGGATTTAAAAACATAAGATCTGCTGATCATGTCGACATATGTATATTGCAACGACTTGAATGTTTTAAATACAGTAAACTACGGTTATAACGAACACGCTTATAACGAACTACGGTTATAACGAACTCAAAGGGACTACTAATTTTAGTTCGTTATAACCGTAGTTCGTTATAAGCGTGTTCGTTATAACCGTAGTTTACTGTACTGATATTCAAAACCTGACATTTGTATATGTTTGTCACCGCACTGTTTACTAGCCCTTTCTGAAGCTAGACAGTAACAGTGTGGACAGTGTAGTCCTCAAGTTATAGAGATCGTAAATATGTATTATTAACACTCAGGCCAACCTGATTTCATCTTAACTTTTATTGGGGTTGAAAAAACCCTCTTCAAACTGCTTTACATCTCTACTGGGCAATAAAAATATCTACACACATCTCTTGCCCACTCTTTTGGGAAGAATTTGATTGTTAAAGTTTTGATTTAAAACAACTGTTTAAAAAATTGAAAATCTCAATTTTAAATGAGAAAGATGACTGTTGAAACATGTAATTATGTTTAAATAACAATATGATGAGTTAATACAGAACATTAACCCTTGTCGTATTATCTCTATTTCTTAATGATTCATTAACGCACGCTTATGCCATAGACGGAATCGTCCAATGCTTTTTTTTGGTTGAAATGCTGTACTATAGTACCGAGGTTCTCATTGATCGTATCATACGCTGAATAAAGGCATGGTTCTTAAACATATTTCATTCAGATATTATTCAGTGTTCATATTTCCAAGTATGGTAACTACGCTATGAATGTGTAGATATTATAAATATTATGTTTTACATCCAAAACATCACGCCACATTGGTATTGTTTCAGTAATTTAGCGACCCAGCAACATGTAACAAAATGTTCCCGTAAAACGCTGGTGTAAGACTTGACCTTTCATTTTGACCCTTCTTTGAGACATTGTTAAGACCACAATGTGTCATAAAGCCGCGGTATATTTGTTCGCGTGATGGTTACGACTCACTGGCTAAGTACAATGGTTATTAACAGCGAGTTGTGCCAGATATACGAAACAGTAACAGGCACATGACGGTGCAGCTGAACGCCTCTTGTCTCGCTACACATTACCCTCACACTACGCCCTCCCCTCACACTACACCCTCCCCTCAAACTACACCCTCCCCTCACAATGCACATTCCCCTCACACTGCACCCACCCCTCACACTACACCCTCCCCTCACACTGCACACTCTCCTCACACTACACCCTCCCCTCACACTGCACGCTCCCCTCACACTGCACTCTCCTCACACTGCACCCACCCCTCACACTACACCCTCCCCTCACACTGCACACTCTCCTCACACTACACCCTCCCCTCACACTGAACTCTCCCCTCACACTACACTCTCCCCTCACACTGCACTCTCCTCACACTACACCCTCCCCTCACTCTACACACTCCCCTCACACTTCACACTCCCCTCACACTACACACTCCCCTCACTCTACACACTCCCCTCACACTACGCTCTCCCCTCACACTGCACTCTCCACACACTACACGCTCCCCTCACACTACACACTCCCCTCACACTTCACGCTCCCCTCACACTGAACTCTCCCCTCACACTACACACTCTTCTCACACTTCACCCTCCCCTCACTCTACACACTCCCCTCACACTTCACGCTCCCCTCACACTGAACTCTCCCCTCACACTGCACACTCTCCTCACACTTCACCCTCCCCTCACTCTATACACTCCCCTCACACTACACCCCCCCCCCCTCACACTACCCCTCCCCTCACTCTACACACTCCTCTCACACTACACACTCCCCTCACACTACCCCCTCCCCTCGCACTACACTCTCCCCTCACACTACACACACCCCTCGCACTGCACGCTCCCCTCACTCTACCCCCTCCCCTCACTCTACACACTCCCCTCACACTACACACACCCCTCACACTACCCCCTCCCCTCACTCTACACACTCCCCTCACACTACACACCCCCCTCACACTACCCCCTCCCCTCACACTACCCCCTCCCCTCACAATACACCCTCCCCTCACACTACACACCCCCCTCGCACTGCACGCTCCCCTCACTCTACCCCCTCCCCTCGCACTACTCTCTCCCCTCACACTACACACCCCCCTCACACTACACACTCCCCTCACACTACCCCCTCCCCTCGCACTACACTCTCCCCTCACACTACACAACCCCCTCGCACTGCACGCTCCCCTCACACTACACACCCCCCTCACTCTACCCCCTCCCCTCGCACTACACTCTCCCCTCACACTACACACCCCCCTCGCACTGCACGCTCCCCTCACACTACACGCTCCACTCGCACTGCACGCTCCCCTCGCACTACACTCTCCCCTCACACTACACACTCCACTCGCACTGCACGCTCCCCTCGCACTGCATGCTCCCCTCACAGTACACACTCCACTCGCACTGCACGCTCCCCTCACACTACACACCCCCCTCACACTACACGCTCCCCTCACACTACACCCTCCCCTCACACTACACTCTCCCCTCACACTACACTCTCACACTACACACTCCACTCGCACTGCACGCTCCCCTCACACTACCCCCTCCCCTCGCACTACACACCCCCCTCGCACTGCACGCTCCCCTCGCACTACACTCTCCCCTCACACTACACACACCCCTCGCACTGCACGCTCCCCTCGCACTACACTCTCCCCTCGCACTACACTCTCCCCTCACACTACGCCCTCCCCTCACACTACACGCTCCCCTCACACTACACACCCCCCTCACACTACACACTACACACTCCACTCGCACTGCACGCTCCCCTCACACTACCCCCTCCCCTCGCACTACACTCTCCCCTCACACTTCACGCTCCCCTCGCACTACACTCTCCCCTCACACTACACACCCCCCTCGCACTGCACGCTCCCCTCACACTACACACTCCACTCGAACTGCACGCTCCCCTCACACTACCCCCTCCCCTCACACTACACACTCCACTCGCACTGCACGCTCCCCTCACACTACCCCCTCCCCTCGCACTACACTCTCCCCTCACACTACACACCCCCCTCGCACTGCACGCTCCCCTCACACTACCCCCTCCCCTCACACTACACACTCCCCTCACTCTACACACTCCCCTCACACTACGCTCTCCCCTCACACTGCACTCTCCACACACTACACACTCCCCTCACACTACACACTCCCCTCACACTTCACGCTCCCCTCACACTGAACTCTCCCCTCACACTACACACTCTCCTCACACTTCACCCTCCCCTCACTCTACACACCCCCCTCACACTACCCCCTCCCCTCGCACTACACTCTCCCCTCACACTACACACACCCCTGGCACTGCACGCTCCCCTCACACTACACACTCCACTCGCACTGCACGCTCCCCTCACACTACACACTCCACTCGCACTGCACGCTCCACTCGCACTACACCCTCCCCTCACACTACACACTACACCCTCCCCTCGCACTGCACGCTCCCCTCACAATACACCCTCCCCTCACAATACACCCTCCCCTCACACTACACACTACACCCTCCCCTCGCACTGCACGCTCCCCTCACACATACTCCCCTCACAATACACCCTCCCCTCACACTACACACTACACTCTCCCCTCACACTACACACTCCCCTCACAATACACGCTCCCCTCACACTATACCCTCCCCTCACACTACACCCTCCCTTCACACTACACCCTCCCCTCACACTACACAACCCCCTCGCACTGCACTCTCCCCTCTCACTGGAGCGTTGTTATATTAAAACGTGACTGACAATGTAAGATGATATGAATTACACGTGTCTGTCACCATGACACACAAAACTGTATACATTAGACTAACGTAGATCCAGAGATGTGCACCCTCCCTTTTTGAAGGGTACTGAACCTTTTTACATTCAAAGGTTTTATATGTGATCATCGGGTATACCAAGCGTAAAGGTATTTTGCTAAAAACTATAAAGCCAACTCATTTGAAGATTGGATGGTGGATTATTAACACGTCATCAAAATTTAATTAATTCGACGACTTTAGTGACGAAAAGTCTGCCCGGAGACCGGAAGGTCGGTGGTCAGATATCCAGTCCGCGTTGTACCAAAGACGCTAAAATAGATATTATTACTTGCTGTTACCCTTCTTGGCGCTCGGTATTAAAGGGATAAATCGCGGTCTGGCCGGGCAGAGTGGGCTATCCATGTTGAACTGCGGTAGTTTAACTCAGTTCGATAGCACCACACACGCACACACACGCACACGCACAAACACACACACACACGCACGGACGCACGCACGCACGCACGCACACACACGCGCACGCACACACACACGCACACACGCAGGCTATATAGGTGAAACAATCTTGAACACGACGTTAAATCCCATTTCACTTTACACCACCTTGCAATATTCATCCGTCTGTGTTACGAAATATGTTACAATCTTTGTCTTGTATATTTTCAGATGACAAGATGTGTCGGCCAACCCAACATGTCTCTGTCCTATAAGAGGAACATATGCACCCCTGGTGATATCAAAACTCTGAGTGTGGACGATATATACCTTCTAGCAGAAAAAGAAAGGGCAAGGTCATCCTACCGGAACCGCCGCCATGTTCTAGAACTTGCGCAGAAGGATGTGCGCCGCGATGACGGTCTGTCAAGACCACACTCCAGTGCCAGCCGCATCCTCCACAAGCAACAGAGCCTCACCCCATCAATCGACCCCAGGGATGGAAGAAGCCGAATAAGTTCAGCCCAATCCACGCTCAAGCCGAACACTCCAGACCCGGACGATGAACTCCTGGATGAGATGAGGTCTTCTCACTCCTGTGAAGTCATGGGACCTAGCGCTTGTGAGGAGTGCCGGAAGTCCAAGTCACGTGCCAAGAGTAGGGATCATGCAGATGCCTCGTTTCCAAGTCTGAGGGTGACTCAGCAGAATATCACCACATCTACCCTGGTGAAGCGTTTATACCCTGGGATGAGTAATACCGATATTCAAACAAAAATAGCCCGTGGTGAAATAGCACGGTCTCACCTCCCCAAGGCTTTACAGTGCCATCCCGTCCCTCATAAGAAACCAGACGAAGATGACGATTCAACGCGTAGAGAGAAACTCAAACAAAACGAAAAAACTGCTTTTACGATAGCCCGGCTTAAACACAAGCTGAAGAGGGGTACGCCGAGCACCCCAATGTACTTCCATAACATCCGGGACCTTAATTACAAAATTATGTCGGGAAAGGTCCCGCGAGAGTTAGGATTCAGTAACGTGTCAAAATCCCACGCCAGTAAGAAAAACGAGACAAGGCGAGAATCCACTGTCGATTCCTTGTTCCCTGTTTTCGTGAGTCCGCGAAAAGTCACAATGTATAAGGAGCCATCGTACAAGACATATTTCGGGCCCCCTTTACTGCCGAGAGCTAGCCAGAAACCTGAACCCTCTTTTTTTGCGGGTTCTGACTTTGAATACAAGCTTCCTGAAAGACTTCCTGATAAGTTGGTGTTTGTAGACACCATGAGGCAACGTCTCCACTCCGCCATCTCTCTTGCCTCCTCCGCCGTCAGCGACGACACCCACGACACCGAGTCACAGTCTATTGAGAAACTAGAAATTACCGAATAGTCTTTTGACGTCAACGGTCCTGGCAGTGTGATCTCTGATTTTTTAAAGATGCGCTAATTCTGCCAAAGAAGAAGTCAGTTATTTTTCATGAATCAGAAACGAGCGTGGAAGCATTATAATTTTGAATAAACAGTGTGATGTTGAACGTAACCATCACACCTTACACTTGCCCTGACTCACCTTCAAATGTTTCAAGTGTGCTATCATCCCAAAGTTCGAACAGTGAATACATTGGTATTTAGAACATGTTAAAAACATGTGTGAGTTTTATCGATTGCTGATCAAGACGTGACATAGATATTAACATGAAAATGACAAAAATTCTGAAATGAGTTTGTTGTAAGCTTAAAAAATCGGAATTGTCAGATAAGATATGTGACCCACCAGGAGAAAAGGAACCTCATAGGCACCAGGATACAATTATGATGCGACGTCATAAAGAAAGATGTTTGACGTCAACTTACTTCCGTAAAACATCGCCATGTGTGACGACTGTACAAACATGTCTTATTTTTTACCTGTTAGTTCATAATGTCATAAAAACATTATTTCAAAACGTTTCAGCTCATATGTCTACTGCAATCTTTACATAAACAGTTTTACGTCTGAAAAGGGGACCTCGCAGAAAATGAGGCCAACTGTTTGATGCTATGTAAATTATAAATATTAATTGAAGGTTATGAATTGTAATTCTGTGGTGCTACGATACTGCACTTTGAAAATATATTAAGAAGTCAAAATGTGATTTTTCACCAACAAGGCCCCTTATCTCATGGTTGGTCACATTTTATATTTAATGATGTCGATGTGAATTTAATTTATAATTATTCATGATACTGAATGACCGCCTCCGTGGTCTTGTGGTAGAGCGTCCGCCCGGAGAGCGGAAGGTCCGGGGTTCGATCCCGGGCCGCGTCATACAAAAAGACGTTAAAAGATTGTGCTTGTTGTTACCCTGTCTGGCGCTCGGCATTAAGGGGCTAAAACAAGGACTGGTCGGCTCGGAGTCAGTATACTGTGTCTGAGTGGGGAATTCATGTTAAACTGCGGCATGGTATCTCAGTGAGCTAGCACTATAAATCGGCATCAGTCCGGACTAGTACAAGCAGCCACACACACACATACACGTGCATGCACGTCGCTATATAAGTGCAATAATCTTGGACGCGACGTTAAACCCAATTTCACCTCACATGATACTGAATAAATATTGTGATATGGTATGTCACAATCTTAACTTGGATCTCCGTGAGGGTAAATGGGTACCCTTTCAGTGCACTTTAAGCATAAACATTACTTTAAACGTAACAGAATAGCTCCACCGAGAGATTCTGAAGATGCTTTGTGCTTTTTACACATGTTAAAGGCGAAACCAAGCGAGATTTCCAAGCAAACATGCTACATTATTATATACATGTTCAGTATGTAGTCGTCTCGGGTGGATCCATTCAAGGATGTGCACGTGTGACAAGAGTGTTGCTGTGATCAACACCTGCGGTCTGGCCCCCAGCACGTGCATGGTGTTTATATATTGACAGACAGTATGTTTGTCAAATGGGTGTATTTTCTTAATTTAAACGTTTGGATAAAAACGTCCATTCTGCTGTAGCGTCAGATGAACAATACTATTTTTTGGATGCGTGAAGCGCGATTTGGGAGTGGATGATATTGTGTTATCAAAGTGTTTATGTTCATTTATGTCAACAATTTATCATTGAAAGAAGAGTACGGTCGTGCAAGTGCTATTTTAATTGGTGGCCATTTCAATGATTGCGAGGACTTTCAATCCTCAGAATGTTTATTCATGAGAAAACAATATCGCGATGATTACATAACATATGCTTGTAAGATCTATACTCTGCGTCATTATTGAAGGGTCGCCTAGGTTTGTAGAATGTCACACATGAACATATGCTAGCAAGCGTCAATAGGTCTGAGTATATTGAGAATGTGATTAACAGTTGAAGATCATGTTGTTAATGTCTATGTCACAGTGGTTGGATTTGATTTTATGAAACTGGAAAAATGGATGACTTTTAAAAGCAATGGCACGTGCAAGATTGAAGGTTGTGAAAACAGCTTAAAAAAACAGTGGTTTAGCCCTTGAACGTGCAGGGCACGACAAGTACCAGTCAATGTGGGTATATACTGTGTCATTATTCATGCAAATGAACCGCACTCTTGGAAGTTGAAAACGCGACGTTTCTGAAGACACTTATCGCATATTATCTGTGTGAACCCTCACTAATGACACTGACTATATATCTGTTATGTTTTAACAACTACACTAAATATATAACGTCAACGTCTCGACTATGTGCCGAACAGGTTCCATTTGGCACAAAAGGCAAAATAGGGATGACAATTATATGCTTAGATCACTGATAACCAGGCCTAGGATTACACCAGGTTTGCGAAACGGGTAAGCAGCCAGTGTCTACTTATAATCGGGAAGACATCGATCAGTCCCAATTCCAATAAAAATGTTTGTAATGTACATGTCGACTGAATTTGGTCAATTATTTAGTTATCGTCAGACAATGACATGACCTGATATTCGAACGTCAGGCCCTAGAGACCTGGAAGTACGTCGAGCAGTCCGTAATTCGAGGTTGCCAATATAAGTGCATATCAACGACAAGGATTATGCCCTGGACAAGAATTATGACCTGACCATAGAGTTAGCGTGTCTCAACACAGATTAAATTAACGATATTTCCCCATATGAACTGCCCTGACCATAGAGTTACCATGTCACAACACAGAACGAATTAACTATATTTCACCATATGAACTGCCCTGACCACTGAGTTAGTTACCTTGTCTCAACACGGAACGAATTAACCATATTTCACCGTAATAAATGCCCTGACCACTGAGTTAGTTACGTTGTCTCAACACAGAACAAATTAGCGATATTTCACGGTATGGCCTGCCCTGACCATAGAGTTACCATGTCTCAACACAGAACAAATTAACGATATTTCTCTGTATGAACTGTCCTGACCATAGAGTTACGTTGTCTCAACACAGAACGAATTAACGATATTTCTCTGTACGAACTGTCCTGACCATAGAGTTACGTTGTCTCAACACAGAACGAATTAACGATATAACACTTTTTTAACTTCCCTGACCACAGTGTTACTTTGTCTCAACACAGAACATATTGACGATATTTACCCATATGAACTGCCCTGACCATAGAGTTACCATATCGCAACTCAGAACGAATTAACGATAGTTCTCTGTATGTATGAACTGCCCTGACCATAGGGTTACGTTGTCTCAACACAGAACGAATTAACTATATCTCTCTGTATTAACAGCCACAGGGTAATGATGCACGCAGTGGGTGACTCAGAGTATGTTAGGTCAGCAAAAGTGAAAATGTGCGGAGAACTAATCAGTAAAATACATAGTTCCATTGTACCGTGTTTTTATAAGCTGATGTAATGGGTTCTTTCGGAAGAGAATAATCATCAAGTCTTTGAAAGGCAGTTAGAAGTGATACACAAAAGGAAGAGAATTTATGGATGTCAAATTCTCTTCCTTATGTGTATCAATTCAAAATGCCTTTCAAAGACTTGATTCGACATTAACATGGAGATGATACAGTAACATCCATCAACAAGTACAACAATTGACATCCATAAACTTTCGTTCTTATGAGAATAGTCATGCTCTGGTTCCCTCCCTCATTTCCCCTCCCATATCAGTTCAGTCAGTCAGTTATGCCCATCGCTCCTCCCGAAGCATAGGCCGCCGACAACAGTCCGCCAGATTCCTCGGTCCTGGGCTGCCCTCTCTAGTTGTTTCCAGGTGTGTCCCATCTTCTTGCTGTCTGCCTCGAGGTCCCGTCGCCAAGTGTTTCTTGGCCGTCCTCTTTTTCGTTTTCCCATATCACTCCCCAATATTTAATTAAAATGTCAGTGCCAGAGAATAATCATTCTTGATTAAACGACGAATTATATACATGCACCATTGGGTGTAAAAGGCAAAATAGCAGTAAATATAATATGAATGAATCACTGAAAATCCTGACAGTGATGACACCAGTTATATGCTAAAAGGGCCTGCCCTGCCCTACCGGTAGTACCCATCCCCTCAATCCCCTTCCTTTATACCACAAAACCCTCGCCTTCATTCCATCCAAAGATCTCACATTTTACCAACCCTTCCCTTACCCCTCAATCTCATTCACTTACCCCTTGATGCCCATCCAACGGGCCTCAACCAATCTCGCTCCCTTACTCGTACACATATACACAAATGCTACCCAATGGGTTGTATTCGAAATCTGTTGTACTTAGTGAGAGGATTTACAATAAAGCAATAAAACCCTTTCCATTATCATAAGCGACCCGTGAAGATCCCGGGTCGAACAGGTCTTCAGCAGCCCAGGCTTGCCGTAAAAGGCGACTAGGCTTGTCACAAGAGGGGACAGACGGTCAGGCTCGCTGACTTGGTTCATGCATGTCATCGTATCCCAATTGCGTGGATCGATGCTTATAATGTCAGTCACTGTATTGTCTGGTCCAAACTCGATTATTTACAGACCGCCGTCATATAACTTGAATATAGCTGAGTGCGGCGTTAAACAACAAACAAACAAACATTATCATTAGAAATATCTTATTGTACGATCTTCTTCTGTGCGATGCCGACTACATCATAAGCATAATTTGTATTTATGAATCATTATCAATAGTTATGATTAGGTGATCATATCCTTCCCTAACGGTGCCACCCGGCACGTGCGTTACCAAAACAAGGCTAACTCTGACGGCAATGTCGGTGAACAACTACCATAAAGGGGACATGGGATTTTAACTCCCTCAGACGCCGTAAGATTGTCTCAACGTCGCAAGTCTTAGTCATAACGTTCATATTTTATTGGCGCTTCTATTAATTTTCAGCATCATACCCCGGATGCTGCTTCCTTCCCAATGCAAGTTTGCTTATTGTTTGTTTATTTGTTGTTTATTTATTGTTTAACGCCGTACTCAGCAATATCCGAGCTATATGACGGCGGTATGTAAATAATTGGGACTGGACCAGACAATCCAGTGATTGATATCATGAGCATCGATCCACGCAACGTGGATACGATGACATGCATCAACCAAGTCAGCGAGACTGACCACCTGATCCCATTCGACGCCTCT